AGGGGGGGGGGAGGGGCCGCCGCGGCGCGGGGGGGCGGGGGGGGGGGAAGAGAGAGACTGCCGAGGCCCGGCGGCTGCAAGCTGCGCGAGCCTCGCTTCGGAGCCAGGGGGGGAAGAGAGAGACTGGGGAGCCGGGGGGGAAGAGAAAGAGACTGGGGGGGCGGCAAGCCAGGGGTGGTAGTGGAGGGTGGTGGTGGAGGAGACGGGGGAACTGACGGGTTGGGGGGGAAGCTTACCTGCTTCTTCCTCCTCCGCCTGCTCTGTGTGGAGCTCCCCCGCTCCTCCCCCCACAATTTTCGCGGGTCCCCTTCCTTGTCTATATACTAAGAGCCATGGGTCACCAGTGCATGTGGATACTTATTTCCACAAATTGGGGGCACATGGAGGCTCAACAGAAATTCCTGCACACTTGAGGCATTACTTAGGTATGCAGAAAAATCTGACATGTTTAAAAAATATACGGGGAAATTCCCCCCCCCCAATGAAACTGCGTTCTCGCAGATGCATGGAGAATGGACTTGCCATTTGGAACTGTGGTGGAGCTTGCTGCTAGCAGCTGCGAGGGAGCCAGGGATCCGAGCAGGGCTCACTGCTGTTGTGCAGGGCTCGCCGCTGTTGCTGCTGGGGTGTGTGGGAGAAGTCTTGGCGGGCGGGTGGCGGGGAGCCATGCAGGGCTCGCTGCCATTGCTGCTGGCCGGGGAGGGGAGAAGCATGAGTGGGTGGCTGGGACCCGGGCAGGGCTTGCCGCCTTGTACTGGGCTCACCTGCGGCCGCTGCCTCCTCCTCCTCAGTGAGGAATACTGGGGAATACTCCCTCCCCCACGAGTATCACGGGTCCTGCTTCTTGTTAGATCTAATGGCAGCATTCAACACAGATGATTACGATCTTTTGACCCACCGCCTCACCGAGTTCAGGGATTGCCCCTTCAATTTTCCCATGGTTGGGAACAAAGGATGGCACTGGGCAAGAATGTGTTGGCTAGATACTCTTTAATATGTGGGGTCCCTCAGGGGGCACTTCTCCCTCTGATGTTGTTTAACAGCTATATGCGTCCCCTTGCCCAGATGGTATGGAGTTTCAGGCTTGGGTGTTACCAGTATGCTGGCGACACCCAGCTGTATCTGTTATTGGATGGCCACCTGGATGCCGCCCCACATCATCTGGCTGTGAGTTTGGAGGCCGTGGTTGAGTGGTTGAAACAGAGTAGGTTGAAATTGAATCCAACTGAGATGGAGGTTCTGTGGCAGGGGGTGGCTTCGGGGTTGGGGGCCGTGGCAGAAGTTACCAGCTCTTGACGGAGTGTCACAGACACCAGCACGATCCGTCAGGAGCTTGGGAGTGGTTTTGGATCCTTCCTTAAATATGGTTGGCCCAAGTCACACAGACTGCCAAACCAGGGTTGCCAAGTGAAAAAATCGCCACAGCAGGGGACTCCCGGCTTGCGGCTTGAGTGCGCGCACGCACCGCATGCACATCACCAGGAAGTGATGTGACGACACTGGGCACGCTGGGGGCGGGGCCATGACCATAGAGTTTTCCCTCGGATGGTCGTGGCCCCGCCCCCAGCGTGCCTGGCGTCGTCACATCACTTCCTGGTGATGTGCACGTGGGGGTGGGATTCCCCCCGGGGCCCGATCCACTGGCAGTGGGGAATGGGCCCCCTGGGGGGACTTGGCAAGCCTATGCCAAACTGATGTTTTTTCATCTATACCAGGCTTGGCAACTGGCCCCTATCCTGTCACACCCTGATCTGGCCATGGTAATCCATGCAATGGTCACCTCCAGATTAGACTATTGCAACTCGCTCTATGCTGGCCTGCCCTTGAGACTGATCTGGAAGCTCCAACTGGTCCAGAATGCAGAGGCGCGAGTCCTGATGGGACCATCATGGACGGCACATATACACCCAGTGAGAGTCAGAAGTCAGGGACCGATGTACCTATGGGACAGTCTCCTCCATTATGTCCTCAGAAGAGCATTGCACTCCTTAGGCAGCAATCTGCTGGTGGTCCCCAGGGTCCAGGCCTTTTCGGTCCTGGCCACAACCTGGTGGAACTCTCTGCCAAATACCATCAGGGCCTTGTGGGATCTGATGCCATTCCACAGGGCCTGCAAGGCAGAGATGTTCCCCCAAGCTTTTGGTTGAGGACAGCGACGGTTCCATCTTGGCTGGCACCCTTCCCTGTTGTTTACATCTACCTTGCCCTCTCCCCCCCGTCCATGAAGTAGCTGGCAGTTGGAATTGGGACTGATTAATTATTCACCATCTGATTGTTGAAAAGTTTTATTAATGTTTTACCTGGTTTTAACTTGTTTTTGTCTGATGGCTTTTGTACATTGCACTGGGCAATTCATAAATGCAATTAATGAATTAATAAATAAAACTTTGGTTTGGAAAATTCCTGGAGATTTGGGGGTGCAGCCTGGGGAGGGTCTTCAGCAGGGTATAATGCCTTAGGGTCCACCCTCCAAAGCAGCCATTTTCTCCAGGGGAACCTGATCTCTGTAGTCTGGAGATCAGTCGTAGTTCTGAGAGGTCCCCAGGCCTCTCCTGAATGTTAGCAACCCTAACTAGTCCTTCTTGATGTCCCTTTTAGTAGCAGTCTGATCTGCAGATAGGCTTGGGACCTGGAGATCTCCTGGAATTACAATTAGGGTTGCCAAGTCGTTGTCTACTCACCGGCGGGGGAGCGTTCTTTTGGTCCAGGAGCTGCTGTGGTATGCGTGCGTGTGCGCGCCGTCAGAACGTCACAGGAAGTGACGCACGACGTAGAGCACGTTGGGGGCGTGGCTCCAATCGTTGGAGGGGAAACCATAGAGTTTTCCCTCCAACGATTGGGGCCACGCCCCCAACGTGCTCTATGTGGTTGCGTCACTTCCTGTGACGCACCCACGCCGCGCTTCGGGGGGCGGGGTTCCCCCCGGGGCCCGATTCCACGGCGGTGGAAATCAGGCCTCCAAAGCGGGGGTTTACCCGTCACCCGCCCCCACTTGGCAGCCCTAATTACAATTGATCTCCAGATTTTTCCTGAAGAAAATAGTTGCTTTGGAGTACGCAGTCTACAGCATTATAACATGGTAGGGTACATCCCCTGGCCGTACCCCAAAATCTCCAGGAATTTCCCAACCCAGAGTTGGCAACTCTATCTGTAAGTGGTGTGATTGAACTTCATGCCATTAAAAGTTTTCAACTGCCTGCTTCAAGCGTCTATTAAAGGAGCAGGACGTCTGAGCTGAGCGCTGGACCCAGCTTACCAGGCCTTTGAGGGGATTGGCCTGGGAGGAGGGGGACACCTCAGCGGTCCATAGAACATAGATCTAGGATAGTTTAGTGCTTAGAATATTGGATTAGGACCAGGGAAAACCAGGTGCAAATTCCCACTCAGTCTTAAAGCTAGCTGCAGGGCCTTAGGACAATCACTGTTGCTCTCTCTCACCTACCTCACAGGGTTGTTATGAGGACAAAATGGAGCCACTCTGAGGGAGGAAAGGCAGAATTTAAAAAAATGGCTCGATGGCTGAAAGCAGTGTGGTGCCATGGTTAGTGCAGTGGACTAGTATTGGGGAAACCTTGGTTCAGATCCCCCACTCTGCGATAAAGCTCGCGGGGTAACCCTGAGCCAGTTTCCCTGTCTCCGCTTAACCTACCTCACAAGGTTGTTTTGAGGATTAAATAGAAGAGAAGGGAAAATAAGGATAGGATAAAAATGTATCCAAAGGAAACAGCTAAGGCTATACCAACAACATCACAACACCGCTATGCACAGCCTTGAAACAGATGTGAACAAGACCTGACAACAGAATTGACAGTCGCTTGCCTGAGGAATTCTTGCAATAGTTCTGAGAAACCTTTTTTTTTGGGGGGGGAGGGGTGGAAAAGAGGGGCCTGAGGCTGGTTACTTACCCACCAGGGAGCACAAGGCCCAGAAGATGCAAATTTCCTTCATTAATAGCCCAGCAAAATCAGATGTGAAGCAAATCTAGCTTTCTTCCAATCCGGCTGAATAGGTTTTGGATGTCTCCAGATTCCTGCCCTGACGTTCTTCAGCTATACCCTTTGCACAGATGGAGGAGTCAGTGTGGCCTCTTTGTTCTTGCCGCAGCATGTGGAGACCACTCAGTATCTGAGTGTGTAAAAAGCCTTCCACAATCCCTCATCCATCTAAGTGCCATGGGCATAAGACGGGCACACGACAGAAGAGGCGCGCAGCCCTCCGGTCTTCTGAACCAAAGCCAAGCGAATTTCCTGATAAGGTAGGAGTTTCCTGCTGGCGTTTCTCATAACAGGAGCCGGTTGTTCTGGTTTTGTGGCTTTTGCGTCTCTTACCTCAAGAGGCAGAAACAGCACGGTATGCATGTGCCTGTCACTATGGGACTTCTGCAATTCTTGTTGCTTCATTGTGGCAGGAGGCGAAAACAAAATGTTTTTTTTTAAATGTGCATACGTGCTTGTGGCCAGGGCCAGTGTTTCAGTTTTTAACAATACGTTTATTCTTGATTCTAGGCTATTAATGGGAGGGGGGGAGGATACGGGGTCATTTATCGCTACACATTCCTACGCCCAAGTTGGAACAGGCTAGAAATGTGAGTCAGTAATGATCAATATAATGAAGATTGCATCAGAGTTTCACTCTTTGAACCCATCTGGCATGGCATAGGGGTGAGAGTCTTGGACTAGGATCTGGGAGACCTGGGTTCAAGTACCCACAGCCACTGAGGAACTGAAAGGAGCCCTGGCGTGACTGAGCTACATGGATATGAGCAAGCTTGGTTCTCTGTGACCAGACTCACCAAAGACCAGGGAGCAGACTTTGCTGTCATCTCAACAATTCTCTTTTTTTACTTTCACCCAGGCAAATTAACAGTTGATGTTCATTCTCCTGGGAAAAGTAAAGCAACACAGATAGGCACATTCGCTGGCAAGTTTTTAGGGCACTTAGGCCAAGGTTGCATACCCCCATGTATATTTTTCCTTAGATCTTCCTCAGAGGACTGCAACTGTTTGTAATGAAAGAGCCAGATTGTGTCAAAATTCAGAGCAAGAACCTATACCGCTTGACTGATAATTAACCATGTGGATTAATAACCCATAAAATTTCCACAGCCCTAACACTTGTTGCGAATCCTTTATTACAAAGTGGCATACCTGAGATCTCACAGTAACTAATAAATATACACAGGAGCACCCAGCGCAGTGCTTTTAGTGCACTGGTACAAATCTGTGTATGGGTCACATCTGGATTACTGGCAATTATTCACCTCTATTATTTCCCGCGGTGGCTCAAGTGGTTAAGACGCTGAACTGCGGGCTGTGGAAGGTCAGTAGTTCAGCAGTTTGAGACCCGGGTGCCGCATGATGGAGTGAGCTCCCATCTCTAGTTCCAGCTCCTGCCAACCTAGCAGTTCGAAAGCAAGAAATTGCAAGTAGATAAATAGGTACCACTTTGGTGGGAAGGTAACAGCGTTCCGTGCGCCTTGGTGTTTAGTCATGCTGGCCACGTGACCACGGAAACGTCTTCGGACAGCACTGGCTCTTCGGCTTTGAAACGGAGATGAGCACCGCAACCCTAGAGTCAGATTCGACTGGCTTTCGAGCAAGGGAACCTTTACCTTTTTAAAGGATCTCTAAGAAGCCCTTTAGTCCCATGAGAATCTCTGCCTGTTCTTCCATTTATGTATTGGTAATTCTGAATCCCACCCCTTCAATATGCCTTGACTTAAAGATTTCATTTTCTTTATTTGGTTCCATGTTGTGCCATATTTGGCTCTGGAGCCATAGGTGGCCAAGGTACTTTTAAAAATGAAACATTCAGGGAGGGAACTTGGAACAACCTTAGGGAAACCAGGGCAAACCAGAGCATTCTGTGGTTACAGCTGTGAAATCTGGTCACCACCCCCAACACTATTTGAGGGCAATACCACTGGAGCAACATGGCATATCCCCATTTTTGAATTTCCAGCGTTTGTTTAAAACGTCTCCAGCCCTTTTCTTCGCAGAGATATAAGGAGAAATGTGCAGACAACCAAATTAATTCTCCTCTGTACTGTCACCTTTTCTCCTTGGACCATAATTGAACATGAGAGAAGCCATGTTGGATCAGGCCAGTGACCCCTCTAGTCCAACACTCTGTGGCACTCAGTGGCCCAAAACCAGGTGTCATCAGGAGGTCCACCAGCCGGGCCAGAACTCCAGAAACCCTCCCACTGTTGCCTCCCCAAGCACCAAGAATACAGAGCATCACTGCCCCAGACATAGTGTTCCATCTGTACCTTGTGACTAATGGCCACTGATGGACCTCTCTGCTCCATATGTTTAGTCAGTCCCCTCTTGAAAGCTGTCTATGCTTGTAGCTGCCACCACTTCTTGCAGCACTGAATTTCATGTGCTAATGACTCTTTCGGTGAGGAAGTACTTCCTTTTATTTGTTTCTAAGCTTACTGCTTACAAAGTACTTCTTCTTTCTCTACCTTCTCTATCTGATGCATAATTCTGTCAACCTCTATCATGTCACCCCTCAGTCATTGTTTCTCCAAGCTAAAGAGCCCTAACCTCTTTAACCTTTCTTCACAGGGAAGGTGTTCCATTGCCTTAATCATTTTCGTTGCCCTTTTCTGCACATTTTCCAGTGCTATAAAATCTATTTGGAGGTGCAGTGTAGTGACTAGAACAGTATGCAGTGTCTTACAGGCAGAAAGGGCAGAGTTCAACACAGGGATACCATCTTCAG